ATATATATATATATATATATATATATATAAAATTAGCCAGGCATGGTGGCAGCCACTTATAATTCCAACTACTCAGGAGGATGAGGCAGGAGAATCGATTGAACCTGGGACATGGAGGTTGCAGTGAGCAGAGATCACACCACTGCACACATAAAAAAGCATAACAAAAAAAGAAATAAACGAGGGAGCTGCCTTTAAATCCACGTCTCCCAGATTCTGCACTCTTCAGCATCCCAATTTACCTAAGTCACTTCCCATGGGCCTGCAGTGGACTAGGGTGGTCCCAGGGACAGGCCACGTTCAGACAGCGGCCCTGGGCCTGAATAAACGACTGCAAGAGACCTTGATGGGAAGCGGACAGGGCGTTTATTGAGGAGTTTGTGGGTGTGAGCTCCTCCTCCTCCCCCGCCCAGCTGGCAGCAGAGGAAACAGGATGCTAGGGTTTTGCACTCTTGGAATTCAGCGCTCAGAAGCCTGAATGTTTCTGCTCCCCCGCCAGGAGCTGGTGCCTCTGGGGCACCCCTCCCTTCCCTCTTCTCAGGCAGGCAGGGGAAGCGGCAGTGGGAGAGGGGGTGGGGAGGCGGGAGGAGGGGCGGCCCACAGGTGTTCCTCAGCAGAGTGTGAAGCGCCGGGCGCTGATGTTCATGCGCGTGAGGCCCAGGTGCCGCAGCAGTGGGGCCAGGGCCCGGCCGTCCCCGGGCTCCAGCTCTAGCTCCAGCTCGGCCTCATCCAGCAGCTCCTGGTGCAGGTGACAGGCCTGGTCCATCTTCAGCCGGTGCAGCTGGGCCCGCAGCCGCAGCAGCTGCCCTGCCAGCTGCCGGTCCTGCGCCTGCATCTCCCGCTGCGGCCGAGAGGGGGCGTGAGCCTGACGGACCGGCCCTCGGCCGCGCGCTGTTCCACCCTTCCTGGCAACGCTGGGCCTCGGCACTGGCTGTGTCCTCCCCGGCCCCTTCTCAGCTCAGCTTGATCCCTCCCCATCTCCCAATCTTGCTCCACCTGGTGGTTCTCAAACCGGGCTAAGTACTCATTATTAAGCAAATCCAGCTGCCTGGGACCCATCCCAGATCAACTAAGCAGAATCTCTGCGTTGGAGCCTGGTTATCTTTCTATTTGCACGTGTTGGGTTGGGAGCCACCTATTCAAATTCCCATCTTCAGAATCTGCCTGCGGCATTGCCAGGGCCTCCTTTTGTACTTCACTGTATCTCTGGGGCATAGCAAGTCCCAGAGTAAGGGAGGCCGTATCTTTTCCTGTCTATCATGGTGCTCCACACTCCCCAGTGGCAGGGCTCTGTCCCCTAAGCCACAGGAGCCCAAGGTCAGTAAATTGGTTGGAATCCTTCAGCAAGGCTCCCTGAATACAGCACTGGACAAGTCCATTCCTGGCTCCTCAGCCCAGGACACCTGAGTGGGCCGGTGCTGGAGGCGGGGTTCATTCTCATCCCTTCCCCATGCCTGTGGTCTTGGGCCCTAGGGAAGACCAGCCCCAAGGCCCTGTGCAAAGCTGCCCACCCCACCAGACTCACCAGCTCTCCTCGGAGCCACTCAAGGGCGGAGTCCATTGAGTCGAAGCCACTGATGGCCCCAGGTCCCCCTGGTCCAGATTTGGCTTGGGCCCTACGCCAGGCCTGGCTCTGGACCTGGGCTGTCCACTCCAGATATGAGGGCCGCCGAGTCTGCAGCTGAAGCTTAGCTGTGAGTGCCTTCACAGAGTCCAGGCTCTCCCCCTCCTCATCCTCTTCATCCTCTTCGCCCACCGCCTGGAATTTCAGTTGCCCCAGGGACATGGCAGGTTTGAGGTGAGTGACAGGGCAGAGCTGCAGCTCTGGGATGAGGGAAGGGCTGGCAGTATTGCCCAGGGAGAGGTGGTAGAAGCTGAGGGTGAGAAGAGTGTGCCAGGGAGTGAATGATGGTCAATGTTCAAAGTGGGTTAGGGGGCTGAGTGTGCCAGGGTGAGTGAGCAGATGGCTGTGTGTGAGGCCAAGTGTGCAAGGGCTGGAATTTTCCTGGACTGCTAACTTGGGAGCCACGTGATGCCCATCCGGGTGGGGGCCGGAGGAACCCTGCTTCTCTGGCCTTTTGGATGAATTTTATTGTCTTTGCCCAGAAGGAGACACCCAGTTCCCAGAAAGGAAGTTGCTCCAGGATGAGAAAAGCATCATTCACACCAGAGTCTTGGCCCTCTTCCCAAGACCCAAGTTAAGGGAGCTGAGATCCGGGAGGAGGCTGCCTAGCCACCCCTTGTCCTTACTCGTGACACTAGCCCTTCGGCAAAGGACTAGCCTCCAGGGCCCTGGCCTGGGAGTCAGGAGACCTGGGTTCTAGTGCTGGCTCTGCGGAACCTTGGGCAAGTCACTGACCTTCTCTGAGCTCTGTTGGGACAGATCAAGGATTTCAGGCTAATACTCTAAGGAGCCATAGGTTCCCTTGGAAATTCTTCAAGGGCTGCCTGCAGGGGAAGGGCAGACCTGTGGATCAAGTCCTTGCTCTCCCTCTCCCTGCCCCTCCCAGGGCTTCAACCAGAGCAGTTCGCTTTTTAAAACTTTGTTTTGAAACATAACGTACACACAGAAAAATTGTATATATCATAAATGCATGAGAGTGTGGTGGCTCACGCCGGTAACCCCAACACTTTGTGAAGCCAAGACAGGCAGATCACCTGAGGTCAGGAGTTTGTCACCAGCCTGGCCAACATGGTAAAACCCCATCTCCACTAAAAATATAAAATTAGCCGGATGTGGTGGTGTGCACCTGTAATCCCAGCTACTCAGGAGGCTGAGGCCAGAGAATCACTTGAACCCAGGAGATGCAGGTTGCAGTGAGCCGAGATCACACCATTTCCAGCCTGGACAAAAACAATGAAACTCAATCTCAAAAAATAAGTAAATAAATAAATACATGGTTCAACGAATTCTCCCAAACTGAACACATCCATGTAACCAGCACCCAGATCAAGCAACAGAGTATTTCCAGCACCCCGGAAGGGCTGTTAGCCTCCTGTGTGCTCCTGGCCTGCCACTACTCTCCCAAGGGTAACAGCACCAGCGGTTCACAATCTTCAGCATGTATTGGAATCACCTAGAAAGCTTGCTGAGATTGCTAGGCCCCACTGCTAGAGTTTCTGATTCAGTATGTATGGGGCGGAGCCTGGTAATCTGCATTTCTACCAAATTCCCATCCCAGCTGCTGCTGCTCATCTGGAATTATACAATTTCTACTTTTTTTTTCTGTTTTTTTTGAGACAGGGTCTTGCTTTGTTGCCAGGCTAGAGTCTGGAGTGCACTGGTGGGATTATGGCTCACTGCAACCTCAAACTCTTGGATTTAGGGATTCGTTTGCTTGACCTCCTTCGTAGCTGGGAACTTACACGTGCAAGACGCATACCCAGGTAATTTTTTTAAATTTAATTTAACTTAATTTTTTTCTTTTCCTTGTGGTAGTCTCATGAGATAATTTTATTTTTAATAGAAGCAAGGTCTTCCTATGTTGCTCATGCTGGTCTCAAACTCCTGGGCTCAAGCAAATATGTATTCTTTCATGTCTGATTTCTTTCACAGAATAGTTCCAATTTCATGTTTATACTATGGTTTTACTTTTGTTTATATATATAATTTGAAAGAAGGCTTGTATGTGTGTGTGTAAAACTCACATGCAAAAGTCTGAAACAGAGTGGACCAGAAGGCCCTTTAAAGGTAGCAGTTGGTTTTATTCTTAGTAATCAGCACCCACAACAGTGTAGACATCAATGTTTAAGAAATGAAAATAGGGCTGGGCGCGGTGGCTCACGTCTGTAATCCCAGCACTTTGGGAGGCCGAGGCAGGTGGATCACGAGGTCAAGAGATTGAGACCATCCTGGTCAACATGGTGAAACCCCGTCTCTACTAAAAATACAAAA